CTAATCCAATACTGAATGTTAATATTACTGAAGTCAAAACGAATTCTATGACCTCAGCACATGGGCAAATAATAGGGCAGTGTCGACTCAAAGGCAATGAAAGAAAACAGAGGCGCCTTTGTCTAAATCACAACCACAGAAAGCCAGGAATCATCACTGATTGTGTGTTCAGGGATTCCGAGCTAGTTAGAACACGTGCACAGGGGGGGGGGGCTGATGTAAACAACCCTGCGCGTCTGAATGTGAGGGGGCCTTGGACCTGGAATCAAGAATAACACTCCCAGAGCAGAAGGTTGGACAGGGGGAGAGGTGATTTAAAAGAGTGTTGTATATCTCTCAAGGCGGGCAAGACCCAGCTGAGTAACAAGTCTGCGGGGGTCACCAGAAGTTCGCATTCGCCTAGTTAAGACAAAAAGCTCAATTATTCTGTATTGCTATTAAAGTAACGTTAAAGTCGGAATTTAACAACAGGGTAGGCTAAAGTTTGATATTCACACCCACTCCAATTAAACCAGGTCACAAGTTACGCCTACTGAACCATCACCATCATTAAGTCAATGTGAAATGTTATTTCCATACTTCAATACTTTCTATACAACTCGACCCGAAGCATATGACAATCAGAACCTTCCTAAGTCAAAATTGAATCGCACCCAGACAGGAGCGAATAGTCGATATAAGGTTGACGAGGGAAGGAAATTAAGAGCACGGCGAACTGCAAACGTAAGCAAAAAGCCGGGAACAACACCAGCCCAGCAACAGCGAGTGGGGCTTCGACAGGCCATAAAGTAGAATAATAACTCCCGGGGTCAGGGGACACAAGAAGAAGCAGGCAGACAAAAACCAGAACTGACTCCAAGGTTCAACCGCCCTCACCTACTCAGGAGTGACGGAAATTAATGAGGCCTTGAATTAACGGCAGCTGGACGGCAACAACAACGGCGAGCAGAGATAGGGTGGGGCAAAGACTGCGGGCTATGAATGCAACTTCGTGTCAGTAAAGCCCTGACAAACAAGTTAAGTTAAAGACATCACAATACATAATATCGCACATAACATCAATGTTAACGCTATTCACCGTAAACTATATTCCGCTTATATAACCATCCAGGCACCAAGGAATACGAATTCCTAGGATCAAGAAACTTACCCCTTAACCTAAGATATCGGAAATAAATTAATAGTAATAAGTATATGCATGAAAAGACAAAGTAAAACTTATGGAAAAGCCAGGATAACGGGATGAATCACAACCAGGTCGAATATAATACATAATAAAAAAAACGATGTTAAACCCAGGGTCGGAGAGAAAGGGAGATCCCGGCCGTCTTTGTATCCCCGCAGCGCGGGATAGGAGTGTGTATACGCTCGGGGAAACACCTCCACTTGAGTCAAGCACCACGATGGGAAACGACAGACCTTAGGTTACATACAGAATCATAACTGTGAAATAGTAAGGGACAAATGTTAACTTAAAACTTTTAAACATTTCTTTGTGCGCCGGGTCGGAGAGAGTGTTGCCCCTCCCTCCAGGTTGTGCAACACGAACAAAGACGCCTATGAGACGATTTGTAACGTCTGTGTTTTGGGTCATGAAGAAGGCCAGACAAGAGATAATATTGCACCCAGACAGAGAGACGACTTCGAGGCAATTTGTAACATCTGATTGTTTGCTCGTGGGTTTTATGGAGGGAGTGTGACAACGAATATACCGTCAGTGATGCACACAAGGACACACGGACATACGGACAGACACATGGACACACCTGCCTACGGACAGATCCTGACACAGCAAAAATCGGAAGAAGCCCCGCCTTGTGGGCGGGATCCAGGGGGAATTTTCGGCATAAAGTAAAGGATCCTGAGCATTGGAAACCAGTGCGACGGGAGGGTCCACTCAGAAGCTCGACCGGGAGGGTCGACTCAGGAACGAGTGTGACGAGAGGGTCCACTCAGGAGCGCGACCGGGAGAGTCGGCTCAGGAGGAGTGCGACCAGTGGGTCCACTCAGGAGTGCGACCAGAGAGTCGACTCAGGAGCGAGGGCGACCAGCGGGTCGACCCAGGAGCGAGCTCGACCGGGAGGGTCGACTCAGGAGCGAGCTGCGACCAGCGGGTCGGCTCGACTCATCTTCAGCTCGTCAATCTCTGCTGCCGCCGGAGGTCTCTGCTGCCGCCGGAGTGGTGATCGTTGCGGTTTGGCGACGATCCAGCGCTGCACGCTACGAGCGAGTTGTGGGCGCCACCTACCGACCGGGTTCCGAACTGCGACAGCGTATCAACAGCCATCCGAACCAGTTCGCCACGGTGACAGGGGATCAACTGATACGTATGACGCGCACCGCCCCCTCACCACACGACCACCAGGCGTCTGTTTGACCTAAAGAATCGACTCCGAACACTGACTATTCAAGACAACTCTTACCACTCAAAAACACTCGAACCCATAAGCCATCCGTGGCTGGAAAGCATCACAACGAGACCGAGTGATGGCCCTCCGTCGTTTATAAGAGTATTCTTAATTTTTATCTTTAATATTTAGTGGGCTGTACTCTTAATCGCATAAATTCCCAACAGATCCATCAATACGAACTGATTCTTGGCACCTCCTTCCGCCGAGCCACGCTCACGTGGGGAGTGGTGGCCCACCGGATCCTTATCAGGTGATCTGGTCCCCAATTAGTAAACTTGGTATAAGATAACGATCTTCGGAAAAGGAGCACCGTCGCAGGCCCTTACTCCGAGCCGTTCTGAGATAACCTGCCGATGTATCTGTTGAGATTGGTGCCTTTAAGAATAATAACTGTTTTTGATTGTGTTTTTTTATCGCCGTATAATCTTTCAAGTATCTTTCAGTCATAATCGCCGCACGTACTCGCATCCTCTACAGAATATTCAACTGTTCCGTGACCCAAGGTGTTAACAACGTGATAAGGGTTGCGTATGATCAATAAGGAGTGCGGTACTGCGTGAACAATATTGAGTATAATCATTCATTAACGTTAAGGTTTTCTTAGCATAATATTTGCATGTTTTAACGACTCTCTCTCTCACTAAGAACCATCGCGTTATGCGGGATCCATGTGCCGTTGTCAAAGTGAAATCAGACAATCGTTGATGATACTGTATTGATGCCGTATTGACGTTCCGGGATTGAGAGTTCGCATACTATATCATAGTTAAGGTTGAATTAGTAATAAATTGATCAATACAGAAGTGGTTGTGTGATTCTTTCCTGAAATCTATGCATAAGATCTGCTTCTGCGTTGAGATTTGAACTTGGTGACCTTAATAAACACACTAATACATACTCAGTAAATGTTAAAGCGATAACGGGGTGAACCGGGGACCTAAAAATATAACCACGAATAAACTCTGGGAATGTTAAAGCGAGAATGAGACGAACCTAGACAACGATGCCGAGTTAATCTAAGTTAATCTTGCATACTTACACCACACCTGCATAACTGCATACGATTAATTGCCTTATTCCGATCGATAACCCACCCTCGTCACCGAGGCGGGGTCTGGTTATCATAACGACTTGTATTATCATAATTACACCCACTCGCATAATTAATACGATTGCCTCTCGAATTGGCATAATTAAATGTGCATAATTACATAAATTAACATATTTTCGGATAATTACACATTTGGCCAGATTTCATTTAATTATTATTATTTTCACTGAATATTCATAACCCACATATACAACATAATAATTTCACCCACGCACGCATACAACATAACAAATTTTCTTAACCCAACATATACAACATACCTGTGTAATGAGTGCACTATTATGGGACGGGGTATAATAAAGTGATATTAAGACCAATATGAATAGACTAGTAACGTGCTACAAATTCGGTTACCCGAGTTTGATTCCCATCCACAGATAAAATCACTGCCGAGTGATATTTTAACCGGTTCTGAGCCTCCCCCTTCACCCACCACTGTTGACCAGCGTGGTGAAGTATGGTCAAACAACCTTCATGGCCGGCAACGTATGGGCAGGCATTCATCCGGCAGCATACTGACAAAAGGGCTGAACATTTTTATTTAAACTAAAAAGTATTTAAAACTACACTATTTTATGTATTTACCAAGTAAAGCCCACTGAGCTATTACCAATGTTTTTAAAGTGACCTGGCCACAAATGATAGCTCAACTAAGTGGCTTATCACGTGTAAATGTATCGCAGACAAATCCTCCAAACGCGTGTTTTTAACTGTGGAGGGAAGAACAGGAGGGCCTGGGGAAAACTCCACGTGGCCACGGGGAGAACATGCAAACTCCAAATATACATCAGGCGTCAGGGTTGGGATCGAACCCATGAGTTCCTGCATACCAGGTGAGGGAGATAACATCTCGCCACCGCTGTGCTGGGTCACACATGGGCAGTGTCGTAGCAGCCGTAAGTGGTGTTGCTTCTTCTCATTTCGCCTCCGTCAGCCAGCATTTAAAACTCCACATGCCTATTGTGGCCACCCAGTCTCCCGAATTGTTAATAACGTGGTTTAAAAAGTTTGACAACGGCAACGATCCGAACATCACCGACCGGCAGCTCAAACCCAGGCTTCCCTCGCTGCTCACTCAGCGCTCTCACGCAGTGAGGGCACCTTGGAAAACAAGGGAGCTTTTGAAGATTTCAGCTGAAAGTGACGACGTCCTGAGAGATAGATTCACCTCCCCATCCGTCCCCCGCCTCCCCAACTGACCCCCTCCGACTCGCCCAGGCCCCCACCCTGGCCAAGTCCCGCCCGGCTCGTGTAGTAGACGCGATGCTCCGGGCACCCGGGCTTGTCGGGAGGCCGCTATTGAGTGTAATGGATCGGAAAGGCGAAATTTTGGCACCATTAATTTTTCAAAAGCGTGCGATTCCTCTGCATTTCTCTCCCTCCGCATGCCTCCCGCCCTCCGCCCCCACTCTCGCTTTTCCTCGTGTTCCATCACTCTCCCCTTTTTACCCCCCCCCCTCTCTTCTTTCCCTCTCCAGCGCATGCCAAGATCTTCAAGTGCCGGAGAAAGCCGTTCTAAACGAGAAGTCAATCCAGCCGAGATCCGTCACGGGAACCCCCTCGGAATGGATAAATCGCAGCCGGCGAACCGGGGAAATAGAGAGAGCTCTTTGCTGTGCATATTATTAGCGGGCAGGCATGTCTAGTGTTGGCATGGTGGTTGGCTCGAGTTTTCCTGCTCGCAATCCACGTCAGCCTGATGATGAGGCACCATCGCGCCGCGCTTTTAAGTGTGGGAGGAATGCATGCGCGTACACACACACGCACGCACACGCACACACCGAGAACACTTAAACATTATCTGCGACACAACTCAATAATTCATTAAAAAGCGCGGCTTTTGGGATCTTTAAAAGGTTTTAGAGAACGAAGTAAAATACCAAAAATACACGCAGTGGCGGGGCGATGGCAGCGGCCACCACCGCTAAGAGTGTACCTTTCAATTTTTAACGCAAAGTTTTAGTCGTGGGGTTTTTTTTCTTTGCGTCGCACTAATAAAACAAAAAAAAGCGCAACAGCGAAAAGACCACGGCAAAATCACTGCAGTGGGGGCCACAACACATGCATTTTTCACGCGCCCTGGTATTAATATTAATACTAATAGCAAGCATGCAGGTTTCCGTGGCCTGGGATATTCCTCGGAGGACGCGTCTCACGAGGAAACCCACTCGATCGCAGCATTGGCGCGACTCTTTCCAAAAAAATAAAATAAAAGCATGGATTAAAAAAAAAACACCACCCGTAACCGCAAAAAGGTATTTACAAGAATAGCTCTTTATTAATTGATGCGGTAAGGGGGGTGCGACTGCGAGGTGCAGCGAGGGAAATGCAGCGTGCCGCGATTCGCTTTAATAAAACATGGGCCCAGAAGAAGGGGACCCATTGGGCTATCTATCTGTGCGGCGTTGTCTCTCTCTTTCTGCGTGGGAGTTTGTAAAAATGCGTGTCTGTGCGTGCATGCGACCAGTGGCCCAATGGTTACTAACGGGGGTTCTCGCTGGAGCCAAAGCACACATAACAAGTTTACGGGACCGCTCAAATGCGTTGGTCCACTTTCTACCTTCGATAAAAATATGGTATATATATCTATAAAAATATCTTTGTATGTGAATGTGTGGTTTACGCGGTGGTGTAGTGGTTAGTGCAATGCGATTGTACCCAGCGCTCTGTAGTGATAGTTATATTCCCGGTCACGACTAACGTCAGTGGCGAGTAATATCTGAACTGGGCCTCTCCCGACTTCACCAACCTGCACTGACCAGCGTGGTGAAGTATAGTCAAACAAATCTAGGTAACCAACAGGGTGGGGATCCTTCAATTCAGCACTAGGTTGACAAAGGGATATTATTTATTTTAATTGTTTTCCAAGTTCATAGAATTGCAATTTCATGGCTGAACATATTTCTCATTATCTAACCGGATTTGCATTTTAGCTAACATTTCAACTCTTTGGGTGGCTTCTTGCCAGTCAACATCCTCAGCCAGTGTCTATCCTCTGCTGGATGAGGACCTCCCCACGCCATGTCGATCGTGGGGGTTATTTGACCATATATCACTAGGTTGATCAGTGCGGGTTGGTGAAGAGGTGGGTCCCAGGATCGGCTCAGACATCACTGGACACTGATATTAGCCGTGGCTGAGACTGCAACTTCAGTGGCCGGATGCATAGTGCAGTGCCCAAGCGGCTTCCCCTCTTGCCAGTAGTCTCGTAATTATTGTGTTGCATTCAGCAAGCTTTGCTTTAGCGGGTGAGGCCCACTGAGACAAATCATGTCGTTTGCTTATAAGCGTAGTGTCGTGCGTCCCTTCTTCCTTCTCGCTTGAGGCTTGTGTGTGCGTGCGGGTGGCGTGCGTCGCACACACACTCAGTCGGAGACGAGGTAGTCGCAGGAGGTACCGTCCTTCCCTTTAATTGTTGTTGAGTTCACGCCACCACTCAGAACCCCTCTCCAATTACTGTCCGGCCGTGCAATGATCGGGCGAAGGCGGCAGCAACGAGGGCGGCGACGACGACAGCGATGACGAGACGAATCCAATCCCAGAACCGGCAGCCCAGAGCTCTCCGCTTTTTATATTCCCTTTTCAAACCCACCAGAGGGTTCTAGGGGCTTCCCCACGAGGTCTACCGTGACCCTTGCCCCAGTTCCTCCGCCCTGCCGGCACACCAGTGTATATGTAGGACTTGAAATGGCATGCGCCACGCGTTTGGTTGCGATGCGAGCGTGCAGCGGACAGTGGGGGCAACTGAGGATATACAGTTGTTGTTGCGCCAATTAAGGGGTGAGATCATTAAGAGACGCCACAGGTGTTAAGGGTAACTGAGGACGCAGGCCGGTGATTGGTCGAGAGGGTGAGTGGTTGATGACTGGCATCGGGGTGGCGACGATAACAGGATCACGTGAGGCTGGGGGCCTGGGGGCGAGTAACGAAGCGGGGGATGACATAATTAATTTGGGCTGATTGGTTCGGGGATAAAGGCAATGAGCGTATGGAGATACGGGAATCATTGTTAGTGTTGGAGTCGCAGTTGGAGTTAGCGTTGGAGTTGGTGCCTGGGACAAGAGTGTATAGTATAGGGTAGCAGTGGACAAAAGTGTATAGTATAGGATAGCAGTGGACAAGAGTGTATAGTATAAGGTAGCAGTGGATAAGAGTGTATAGTATAAGGTAGCAGTGGATAAGAGTGTATAGTATAAGGTAGCAGTGGATAAGAGTGTATAGTATAAGGTAGCAGTGGATAAGAGTGTATAGTATAAGGTAGCAGTGGACAAGGAGAATACAGTATACGGTAGCAGTGGATATAGACTATAGAGAGTACGGACAGAGTAGCAAGGACGGAGCGAGTACAGCGTAGCGAAGCAGCGGAGTAACGGACCTTGGTGGAGAGAGAGAGATGGAGAGTTGTGCATTGAAGAGCATGGAGGAACATTGAGTGATGCTGTCGGAGATGTGAACTATATGCGGAATAAAAGGAACGAGAAAGACAAAGAAGCTGTCGCGTCAGTAAGAGTCCTACATATATGCTCAACGGCATGTACGGTAAGTGCCCACCTGCAGTTGCAGTTGCTGTATAATAGTCAGCGCTATGTCCACCCTCCCCCCCCTCCATTAAAAAAACAGCCGTCCCGGCTGTCAATACAGCAGCAACAACTAACAGGCAAGGCAGGGCAATAACCCCAACTCGAGGAACACCAACGAGAATGAAAAAAACTTCCCCACAATCCCGTTACAACCGCGGCCTCCCCCACAATCAACAACACATTCCACTGCTCCCCGGTGCCCCCCCCCGATAACAAACCAACACTCACCCCAACGCAATGCCCCCGAACTCGTGAATTGGCAACTCCCCACAGGCCCCCCCCCCATCCGTACATCGGCGACACCCCACACACAACGCAGTACCCCTGAACTCGCAAATCGGCAATTCTCCTACAGGCCCCCCCATCCGTGAATTGGCGACACCCCAACACACAACGCAGTGCTCCCGAAATCGCGAATCGACAACTCTCCCACAGGCCCCCCATCCGCGAATCGGCAAAACCTCAACACACAATGCAGCGCCAACCCCCCTCCCCCCCTCACAACCGACGCACCACCTCAATCTCCCTTTAACCCAGGCCCTTAGCCCCAAAACCCCCTCACCCTCGGATCCCCTCTCAGTGCAAGGGAGAATCCCCCCACGTGATCCAGTCCATGGTGCCAGTCACCCCCATCTCAGTGGGGTCCTGCACCTCCGGAATCCGGAGGGCCAAGAAACGATGGAGGTGGAGTCCTCGGCTCAAAGGGCATGGCCCTTCACCGCTCAGCAGTGCCCGCTCGAGTTCGGTCCCCAAGACCTCGCACTTCGCAGTCTCGGTAGGTCTCAGAGACGGGGCTTGAGTTGACTGTGCCAGTGGGCCCACGAGCACGGATGACTCTATAGGTACTTACTCATCAGTGTGGCCCGACCCACCACACATGAAGCACTTGGACGTGAGTCTCCAAGGCAGAGGGAGCGTTCCCCACCACAGGTTTTCCCTCGGGGGTGTTGATGCTTGAGCCCCCCAGCCCCCCACTGCCGCCACCATATCTTGCAGGCTCCATGTTTCAGCCTCCCACCTTGCCGGCTGCTGTTTCTCCTCGAAGACCTGCATCTTCCTGGCCACTGTTGAGGATTGAATTTCTGTGCTGACAGCGGAGTGCAGGGCAACCCTCAATCTTCTCGCCAGCTCCCGCAACCTCTCCGCCACTCTAAGGTTGAGCGCCCCTTCACCCAAGAGTGGGTATGCCTCACGTCCCAGTGCCAGCAGCGCTGCCCGGAAGGCATAGAGAATCTCGTCCTCCATCCGCTCCCTCTGGAGGAATCTTGTGCAAGCCTCCCGTGCCAGATCAGGAGCGGCCTCCTGCATCTCCGTCACTCTTCGCGCCTCCTCTGCACTTTCCTGCACTTGCCTCAAAATGGCGCCTGCTGGCCATGGGAGGTCCTCCGGTGACAAAATGGTGCTCACCATGTGAGCAGTTCCCCTTACAGAGCCCCCTGCTCCTGCTCCGATGGGAGCTCCCGCTCTGTTTTCTCCGCTTTCCTCCGTGCCATCCCCTGGGGTTCGCACCTCATGCCGGCCCGCACCACTCTCCACATGGCGGTCCTCCGCCATGCTGCTTGGTCGGCGCTTGACCACAGGAACATCTCAGCCCCTCTCCTCGTCGACATGTAGCTCCTGCTCTCTCTCCGTCAATGTGCAGCCTTCGTTTTCTCTCTCCGTCGACGTGCAACCGCCCTCTCTCTCTGTCGACGTGCAGCCTCTCTCTCCGTCGACGCTCATCCGCTCCCGCCACCTGGCATAGCTACTCTTTCCGTCGACGCTCGGCCACTTTCTCTCCGTCAACGTACAGTTGCTCTTTCTCTGTTGAGGCGGAGCCGCTCCCACCTTCTTGCGTAACCGCTCCCGCCATGGACGCCCAGCTGCTCTCTCTCTCTGTCGACATGCATCAGGTCTCTCTCTGTCGACGCGTAGCCGCTCCCGCCTCCTTGGGTAGCTGCCCCCGCCGTCGATGCCCAGCCGCTCTCCCCTCACGGATGCGTAGCCGCTCACCCCGCAATTTTGCGTAGCAGCTGTCCTGCCGATCCGCAGTGGCTCCTCTGCTGCCCAGCAGCCATGGGCTTGGTAACCGGGGTCTGGGGTCTTGGGTCCTGGGGATGTCGGAGGGATGACCGTCTTGCCGTCCTCATCCCGACGACACTACAGATGGATTTTTTTAATACCCCACTCCTGATACCAAATGTAGTGTTGTGCATCTCTTCTTCCTTTTCGCTCGAAGCTTGTGTGTGATTTGTGATCTCCAGATGTGTGCGTGGAGTCGTTTTCAAGGGGGTGGATTGTACGCCAATGGTCTATGAGGGAGAGTTATTATATTGTTGTGGGTGTTGATAGTGTTATACGTGGTCACTGCTACTTACCTGATGTAGCGCCAGCCATGGGTCAACAGGGGGCGAAATCGAGTACGGTCTGTATTAAGTAACGCCGTTAGGCCAGGGAACCCAGAGGGCGGTTGGGAACCGGAGGTATACATCCCAGGCCCCCAGGGGGGCTGGGGGATTACGAAATAGTCCAGGTCCCTCCAGAAGGTTCCAGAGAGTAGGCGTGGACAGGGGCAGAGTGACCCTGGGAGCTGTATATAAGGCGAACCCCTGAACGGGTTTGCCAGTCGTTGTTAAGTTGAAGACCCGAAGACCCAACCTAACATAGGACCCTGGGAACCCCCGGACCCGCCGTCCTTCTAAGGGCCGGGACTGAGTGGACCAGTGGCCGGAACCTGAGGACCTTGGCTGGGTCAGGTCAGCTAGCCTCCCCTAGGTCCCCCTAGCCAGAGGGCTGATATATCGAGGAAGT